ACTGAGTGAGTTGAGCAAAGAGACTGAGGAAGATTCCTCTTAGCACTGGGCTGTCACAGAAGTCTACCGATATACCTTACCGTACCACACCATAGTTCTTAAACCTTCAGACAGTACTTAAGAACTTATAGCCTTATGACACTTGCTCAACTTTCAACCAACTTACTGATTTTTTTTTTAAATAGTATATATGGTAGAATACATTTATATATACTCAGTGAATTTTGATAAAGTCGAGACCTAATACATTTATAAATATTTGTCAGGCTCTATAACTTTCTTTTAAAGGTTGCCATGACTTCTTAAAATATGCTAAAAATACAGAAAGTGTCATAAGGCCTTAACCAAGTCTCATGTGTCCTTAACTCTAACACCATATTTAACATTCGGTTTCGGAAGATTTCTGTGACATGCCTGTTTTTTTTTTTGGCTTTCGTTTCGGTTTTGGATTTAGATATGGTTTTGGTTTCGGTTTCGTTGTGGTTCTGGTGACCAGTTAATGCTTCTTGTGCTCCATGTGCAGCCCATCCTGTCTGTTTCGTTTCGTTTCTTCCGTTGGCCTAGATGATTCGTTTTGGTTCGAGGGAACTCCTGTTCGTTCTCCATTTTTGATTCCAGCAATTAATCTGTGGTCCTTTGTTTCTGATTCTCTTTTCTTTATGGCATTCGAATCAACAACAACAATGACATAAACCCTTTGTACCATTCGACTTTTCCCACAACAATTGAAACTGAAAACAATGCAAATGAATATGGTACAAACTCCTTTACACACACACACTGCACGCTTATACACACACACATACACCCCACACACATTCATATACTTTTGCTATACGTGTACATGTCCATATCCTTTCAGCTGGTCCTGGGAACGTTTGAAGCAAATCTAATTTGACTATCTTTCACTTCTATTCTCTCCAATACCGTGCTTTCGCTCTCTCCCTCTCTCTCTCTCTCTCTCTCGTTCGCTCTTTGGAAACTTAACCCTAACACACACAAACGCATACCGCAAACACACACACCTGTAACCGAAAAAAAAACACCATCTGCAAAATGAAATTCGACGTAATGCAAAATACTATGGCGGCTCGCATTGTATCCATCCAAAAAACCCAAAAACCCAACCAAATCAAACAACATCGACAATCACACTACAACCAACTACAACTACAATAACTACAATAACTACAACAACTACAACTACAGCTCAGAGGTAAACCACAAGTAAAATGCATTTTCAAATCGCACATCACATTTCCCATTTTCCCACTTTTCATCATCGTCTTCGTTTACATTTTTGTGTTCGATTTCCGTAGCTAAAGTGTGCATAAAACTGATTCGATTCGTTTCGATTTGAGCTCTTTAACTAATTCCAAAGTGCACCAGTTTTAATTTGATTTGATCAATTGAATGTAAATATGAGACATTGATTTATGTATTATTATTTTCGCCGCCCCTGAATGTCTGTTTATTAGTTTGATTAATCGAATCTGTTGGATTTCTCACTTTCTAATTTGTAAACCGAATGGTCGAACGACGTGCTGCATTTAATTGGAACGTGTAATATTGAATTTACGCCTTTATGACATTTATTAATTCCCATCTAACAACTGTAAACATCGATCCATCAATCCATTCCCACACATTCACCCGCTACAAGAACAGACCTTATATATACAATACAACCTGAACATCTCCACAGTTCGACATTATTTGGCTGCATCGCAGGCAACAGAGGCAACAATATCCCTGGTCGCTAACAATATGGTATACTTATAAGGAGTAAAAGGGATAAGTCCCCAAAACTTAGTTAGCCCCTCTTAGATACCAAAAAGCTATTCAATTAATTCAATCGGAGTGACAAAGTGAATTAGCAAAAGATAAAAACTCTAGATATACGTCAAAACATTCCTCAAAACAGAGATCCCTTTAGTTAGCTTATATCATTAGCTCTTATTTAATATGAATTGGAAGGTAGTAGGTATTCGTAATATATTTTGATGATATAAATCCGAATCTGGCTTTGAAAATGTAAGGACTACACAGAGAAAACTCTGACGTTCTCATCTGAGTTAAAAATGTTCTTAAAAAGGGAACAACATTTTTGAAATTGAAAATTTATAAATTTGGCTTGATTCAAATATATACATTGTATACTTATCAAAAAGTTGTTAAGTAAACTCAGTTTAATTTTTCTCTTCTCACCATTTCGTTCTAGTATTGAGAACGTTGATACCAAAATGAACTTACAGATTTTTGAGAACGAATGTTCTTAGTTCAAGAACAATGTACTTGAATATTTCTCTCTATGTATACACCATGTTTAAATTTATTTTGTAACGGAATTCCTTTGTTATTTAAAACACAAATTTTGATACTAATATTTCCAGGCCAGATTCGAATTTGTCACATTTCAATTAACTGAGAACACCTATTCACATACCAAAATAATTGAATAACTAAAGACCCAGCAATATTGACGCCCAATAATGTTTATGATTTACCGAAAAAACTACCAGAATAACGTGTCAAATTAACTCTGGCCTCTGGCCCAATAAACTTAACCACATTTAAACACCTCACAAACACAGCCACAAAACACCTCAAATACTAACGCACTGACACACACGCGCACACGCACACGTGGATTTATGTTTATTTTTTGTACTTTGATAATTCAGTTGCATAAATTATGTTTTTGCCTGAACTAACCAACTTTATTCATTTAACACGTACACGCATGCAATTTAAGAGACTGCCTGGCATGCCGCAAATTGAAACTTATCAAAGTGTTGCACGTGAAGCACGTAAATTAGTGTAGAGTAGCGGGAAATATAGCATAGAACGATAAATATGTACATATATATGCATACCTGCAACATAAGCCGATTGCAGCACCACTAATGGCAATTTTCTGTCGCAAACAGGCGGAATATTGATGATGACGAAACCACAGTGTGACGACTGACCCAGCAGCAACAAAGGCAGCAGCAACAGTTGAGGCTGCAGCAGAAGCAGCAGCAGCAGCACTTGCAACACCTGCAACAATTGCAGCAGCAACGCACCAAACAGCAACAGCAAACGCAATACTTTGCCACCATTAGACGCAAGCCGCAGTACAGGATTCACACAGAGGACTGAGGTCCTTTGTCGTCGACATCCATAGCATAGTTTGCGGGGCACCTGCCATAGGTCCATCATCCATTCAAAACCTTGTACATACCACGCACCCACTTAATTTTACGTAAACACACAGCTTAGTACACCCACAATTGATGGGCATAAATATTTATACGAAACCCCTAGCATTTACATAATTTAAAGCGCCAGTTGCATTTCGTTTGGCATCGCATAATTTCGTATGTGCATTATGCACATCTATAGGCAACACGGAAATACTCAGCTTTAGCCCTGTGTATGTATTATAAATTATAACATATAATTATGTATTTAAACAAGAGTCAGACTGATTTTATGCATTTTACGTTCTGCTATTTACACTTAAGCCCCACTCGAAACATTCAGAGAGCATTTAGGTCCAATTACCCTAGGTTCGATATGGGTTCGGAATGCGACATTAGCTAGAGCAAACTGCGAGTAAACAAAGTCTATAAGGTAGGAGAACATTGTGTGTGCCTCGAGCTTATTATGCCAAATTAGTTGAAGTCCATGGGGGAACTTGTAAATGAAAAATAATCTGCGCAAGGTTTGCAATTCATTTGCCTAGCATCCGCACACGTTGCCATTTAGTTTGGAAAGTTAGTTTTAATCGATAGCTCCCACTATCCCTACCAATGTTGCGAATGTACCATACAGAAATCTAAATATATACGCCAGCAAGTAAATTAAATTCAGGACACCCGCACGTATTTATGGGAAATATGAATATAATTAAAGACACAAGCGCAACAGCAAAATAGTTATATACTCGAATACATATATCTGTCTATAATATCGGAATCCTGGCTGAAAGCAGCTCGCTCAACAGTTTGAACCCCGACCCAGCAATAGCCACTCGTGTCCCTGAAAAACTGTGTACAATCTATAAATAATTCATAGGCGGAACTTACTGCATTTGAACTCCACTCAACTGCCACCCATAAGCTATGGATTGCGCTTGAATGTGGCACACAGTATATGATATTTATGTGAATTGACTTATTTAATTGTAAATTATACAAGTATATCAATATGAATAAAATGTGTAAAGTATATGGAGCAAAAATAAAAACCAAACGTGTTTTTCAATTTCTAAGGTCTTTCAGCTGGTGAGATATGTAAGTAAGTAAGAAATTGAATAGTTTATAAGACTCTTTCTCATAACTTTAAGCGTTAGGACCTTTATAAATTCAAATAAAGTGAGTTTCAGATTTTAAATAGCTCCAAAGTTTTAGTTTTCAAATATTAGCGTAATCCCTTGTTTATAGATTGTTTTGAATAGAATTTATACCATTATTTTCCCCCCTCAGAAAGCCACAAAAATGCATTCTTTGTTTTACCATACACCTTTTGCATATATTTTATTATGGGAATACAATAATTTCAATACCATTATGTGTATATTATGTATATATGTGTGTATCTGTATATCTATGTTATTATCCTCATAAGTATACGGGTATATGCAGATGTGTGTTAGTGTTTAAAAACCATCATTGAATAATATATATTGAATTATTTTATTTTCGACGTTCTGGTACACATTGCCTAGTTGGATTTCTCTGGTTGCAATTCAAATGGAATACAAATAATGCCCATTGTGTTTGGAATTGGAATTGTTTTCATAGGGTTTACAAATATTTGGTTTAGCTGAGTACACAATGCAATAATCAATATGCTAAGTATTGGTTTAAATGACAACAATGTAGCGCAAAAATGTTATTTGCGTTATGCCTATGCACGAATTCATCAACAATTGTTACTCGTTTACATTTCTTTTATTTGCTTTGATTTTACTCCGGTCTAGTTTTGTTTTTTTCTTTTTATCATATTTATAGTTTTAGTTTAGGATTGGATTATTTAATTGGGGCTTGACTAAAAGCGAATCCACACGAGAATATAAAGACAAATACTTGAAGGAGTGGTTATGCAAGTTGTATGATTAATTATTTTACAAAACAGTTCGAATGCCAAAAAGACCAATCAGCGACCTGCGTCGCTGGCTTAAGGCATTTTCGTATAGAATCATTATCTCCCCTAACTTTCCCGAATCTCAAATACCAAATACCATATCGCGAGTCCCAAATCCCAGTTTCCTTCCCCACTTTTCCTCTCTGGCACTTGGCAACTCGTTGTGCTTTTCGTGTGAATTTTCCTGGCATTTTCCTGGGTGCGGGTTTTGGGTTTCCTTTTCGTTTTGTCTTCGTTTTTGGGTATTTATAATACAGCGATATGCCTTTAATTTAACCGTAATTCAAGTGAAACTCTGCTTGTACACATATTTAACATTAACGAGCATTGGCAAATACATATAATATAATATATATTCAGTTACATATTCAGATTCAGCAGTTTCAGACCCCAAAGTCAAAGTCCTTGTACCCGCTTCTAATTTTCGTTCAAATTTAGTCACGGCAGCGGTTTGTTGTGGTGTTTTTTTTGTGTCTTTAAAGCGTTAACAAAGGAAAGCCTTGTATAGTACTCATATACCATATGGTATACAGGTAGAAAAGTGGGTGGTGGTGGTGGTGTGCTTATAAAAGGGGGTGTTCGGGAGGGTCTGGCAAATTAAATGCACCGATCTCTCAGCTGGCTCGGTGGGTTCAAGTAACTCGCAATCCGGATTCAGTTCGCAACAGTCTCGAGGGGAGGGGAAATTAAAAAGTGGGCGGTGAAAATCAAGCTGGGTTGCCTGACCTCGAGGTTTAGAGGTTTAGGGGGTATCTGGATCTGATCTCCTGCGGGTTATTGTCACTCTGGCCCTCGGAAGGTGTTCGTTATGGGGTTTCCGGGAAACAGAAAACTGCGATTACCTATGCAACTCTGGGTCTGGGTTAGTACTCTCTATGCGATACATGTATATTTGATGTATATATTTCTTTTATCATTTGCAACACATTAAAATTTTCCATTTCACTACATAAATACATACGTACATAATAATAAGAATCATAATATTTAATAATAACGGCCTACCACTCAGCCGGTTTATTTGTGTTTGCTAGAATGCTCCAAGCCAGGGATTTTGTGGGTATAACTATATCCGTTTCCGGTGTGTTTTTGTGTTTTCAGTGCTCTTTGCTTGTGTCTTAGTGTTGTGTTGTGTTCTGTTGTGTATCCATACATATACATGGGTGTGTGGGGGTTAGGTGTACTATATAGTTAGTTGTCTGTTCGATTTCACCGATTCGCTAGCTTTGTGCGTTTCGTCAAGCATCTCAAACTGTACAGTTTAGCCAGCGTATTTACATGTGGATGTGGAGAACGGTTCGAAATACTCGTGCTGACTGACCTCCTGACCTCTTGACCCCCTGTCTCCCACCCTGGGGGGGTCAAATCAAATCGAATGACTTTCATCAGCACTCGGGGTGCACGCTTAATTAGTGCCGAATCACCGTCAAATCGGACTTTCGTTAAATTCTTTGCTCTTTTTCAATTTCTCGACCTTGATCTATCAACTTGAATGGACATTCAACTCAATATTCACACACTCAACAAATGTTCTTGCCACGCCGCGGCCAGCCAATTAAATTACAGGTTACAAATTACCAATTACAAATTACAAGTTACAAATTACAATTCAAACATCGGATTAAATAACATTTGACATTTACACTGAGGCGAGCGAACGCAAAGGATATACATACACATATCGATACAAACAAAGCCCCCGAAGGGGGGTGGTGCATGCCCATATCATCATCATTATCTCCTCATCGGTATCCGAACCGTCGTCGTCGGCTTACTGAAGGATTAGTTGCAATCCCCGGTTCAATGCTGACTAATTAGCTAGTTTTCAAATTCTGTTGTCTATGGCTGTTACGGATGTGGTTTCCCTGTGGTGCTGCTCTCCCATCCTCTCCTCCAATTGGTATCCCCAATCGGAACTCTAACAGTTGCAGTTGGCATTGGGCGTGCCCTGCGGCTGATCCGTCAGCCGCTGACCCTTCTGGCCACCACCCACTAACGTCGGATCCGCGTCCAGGCTCTCGGACATCTTGTCGCAGATGATGTCCACCAAGCGCTCGAAAACAGCCTGAAAGTGGGAACATTTATCCGGTAATCTGAGGTACCTTAATACTCTCCTACTCACCTTGACGTTCACGTTCTCCTTGGCGGACGTCTCGAAGAATTCCACACCCAATTGATCGGCCAACTGGCGACCACGTTCGAAGCTGATCACCCGCTGGTCCTCCATGTCGCACTTGTTGCCCACCAGGATCACTTGGGCATTATCCCACGAATAGGTTTTGATCTGTGTTACCCTTTGGTTTAGTAGCGAGAAGAGAGTGTTAGGAAGAGGAATTCCTGCTTATGGCATATGCAAGCTCTTACCAATCCTGCACCGAGTTGAAACTGTCCTCGTTGGTAACGTCGTACATCAGGATGAAGCCCATCGCTCCACGATAGTAGGCTGTGGTGATGGTACGGTACCGCTCCTGACCAGCCGTGTCCTAAAACAGAAAATAAATTAGAAAAGTTTCTAAGATACCCCTAAGATACACATATTTCAAGTCGAATCTTATATCCCGTTAAATACATTTGTATTAATTATTAATCGTTAGACTTTTATATTGAAGGTATAACTATGATGAATTTATTTTTCGATATATTTGAAGTATACTTAATATTATTATAAATATTTTTCCAAAAAAGGTATTTCTGACTAATAAAATACTAACCGATAGATCATTAATTTAAGCTTGATTTCCGCGCCCTATTAATTTTCTAGCAATGTGTTTTACCCAACTCAATCTTCTAGGTCGTTATCACAAATTAATTAGATCTTAGTGAATTAAACCCCCACACAATTTACCAACTTAAACAATAAACTGTACGAACAATCCCCACAGAATTCTCTTAATTGATTATGCTCTCTTAATTGATGACTGAAAACAAGACTGGTATCGCACATCAAGGACTCTCGAGAGGACGCTCACCTGCGCCTTCAGCCGTGGGATGCCCAATCAATAAATCAATGTCTCAGCTTTCCGGTTTAATGCTCTTCGCCGGATGATTCAATCGCCCCCACAAAACTAATCGAGGTCAAACAAGTTCTGCACATCCCAAAGTTTAACCCATAAAAGTTGGCAGCACACATTGTACGACCTGAATGTAAGACCGATAATATATTATATTGTTTGAACTCACCCAGATCTGGAGCTTAACGCGCTTGTCGTGCCGAAAGACGGTCTTCACCTTGAAGTCAATGCCCACCGTGGAGACGAAGGCGGATGTGAAGCTATCGTCGGCGTACCGGAAGAGGAAGCTGGTCTTGCCCACGCTGGAGTTGCCGATGATGAGCAGCTTGAACATGTAGTCGAAGTTCTGGTCGGCGGCATCCTTCTGCCACTTGGGGTCCCCACCACTCGCCATTATATCTGTTTAGAGCGGTGCTGCAAGGAGAACAATCAGTTGTGTATTAGACTAGATTCGATCGGGATTACAGTTTCTAAGTCAATGAAACTAAATGGGTTCTAAAGTTAATTTAATGACCTCTGTATGGATTATACTATCATATCATATCATATCATTCCATATCATATCATATTATATCATATCATATTTAGTATAATGGTTTTATGAGATTTAGATTGACATAAATTAAAATATTAAACTTGGGAAATTAAATCTTCTTAACTTCAGCGGACTCCTTAAAACATTTTGGTTTCATATAGTATTCCATCTAAACTGTAAACCAAGATTAAATCTTAAGATCTCTCTTATCACACAAAAATATGTTATTCTAAATATCAGAAAGGATAAACTAACCTACCCAATACGGTTAGGAAAAGGAAAGATTTCTGGAACTGATCCAAGTAGCACCCCAGAATTCTCCGTCACCTTGTTTATAAGACAGTAGTTCGTATCGGGAGTCATTCACATAAACACATTCTCATAAGGAACAGTCATAGACCTACGACTCTGAGAGCAACGGATAAATTACTTGGAATTCTGAAGGAGCTGAAAGTTGTGTTTTCAAGTTGTTTTCTTTTAGCACGTTTCTGCACTTGCGGATTCCTTTTACCCCTCATTTGATACACCCCATGTAAGTCCGGATCTGCTGGCCACAAAATGTTTGACACCTCGTTGGGAACTATCTTGGGTTTAATGGCGCAGTTGATTTGCCTGATAATCGGACAGATTCTGGTGCAAATAGTCCAGCATCCATTGATCACCACGGGACTCTGCTTGCTGGCAGGATTCGCCTATCATGCAGATCAGGAGTCACTCAAGGAGGCCTATCAGCGGGTGCTCCTTTGGACTAGGTTGCCCCTGCGATTAGGGAGCATCTATAGCCCCTGCTCCAGCTATCCACCTTCAGGATATGGCTACGATATGGACCATGGTCCACACACCTGGCTGGCCAAGGAGGAGGTGACCTGCTTTCAGAGTCCAGTCAACATCGATGAGAGCCACATCCAGCGCTTGGCCATTCGGGAGCTGCTCAACTGGAACCACTATGATGATTTGCCGGCCAGCATTCAGCTGGAGAACACGGGTCAGACGCTGATCCTGCGGGCCCAGTTCCATGGCAATGCACCCACCATCAGTGGGGCAGATCTCTTGGCCAGCTACACCTTTTTGGAGCTCCGTTTCCACTGGGGATGGTGCAACAGCGAGGGATCCGAGCACACCATCAATCACCGCAAGTTCCCCTTGGAGATGCAGGTGATGCACCGCGCGGGTTCGGGAACTCCCAGGAGCTGCACCAGCAGCTACGACCTCCTGATGATCGGCTATGTGTTCGAGCTGTCCGCCCACAATCCCTTTCTGGATCCCCTGGTGCAGAACTTGCGATTGGTGCAGCAGCCGGGAAAGCGAGTGCAGATCCCACCTTTCCCCCTATCCTACTTGATGTATGCATTTCGCACGGGATTTTACTCCTACGGCGGATCCCTGACCCATCCGCCCTGCTACCAGGGCACCGAGTGGTTCATCTTTCCCGAATCCCTGGCCATCAGCGACTTCCAGCTGCGTCACTTCCGTTTGCTCCTCGGTCCGGATGGCATCTCCCCCATAGCCCGTAACTGCCGACCAGTACAGACCATGGGCAACCGGGTGGTGAGCTTGAACTGCTTCTGTCCCTATGACGCCGCCCAGCTGGCCAGGATGCATGTGGAGCTGTGCCAGCAGCAGAAGCTGGAGGAGCACGAGGAGGAGCGCCTGGAGCAGGAGCAGGTGCAGCAAATGGAGAGGGAGCTGGAGCGAGAGAGGGAGCTTGAAAGGCAGAGGATGGAGCGGGAGCGAGAGGCGGCCGCCCTCGCTGCGTCCGAGGATGAGGGTCAGCTGGTGGAGACCATTGATACCACCACCATAATCACCAGCAGCAGCAACACCAGCATCTGCATGACCACGATGATGCGCAAGGATTCGCCCCGGGAGCTGGAGCAGCCTGCCCAGATGCCCACTCCCAATCCCAGCCAGAGTTCACTTCGCAATCCCGGCATGGTGATCTTTAGCAGTGGCAACGAGTCGAAGACCAAGTGTGGCCTTCAGCTGGACATCCCTGAGGAGCTGATGATGCGGGATAACAGCGGAGCTGGAATGGGAATGGGCATGGGAATGGGAATGGGTACCCAGAATGGCTGCAAGGCGGATGCCATGTGCGGCGTGGGCGATGGCGTCAACATTGGGGTACGCATCGAGCTGGTTGACTAGGATTACACCCACATTACCAACCATTTCTGTCATCCATAGACACTCCATTTGTGGTCCAAGCTGCACGCCGAGCTGGTGGGCAAGGATGGAGGACATGGCGCACCGGTCAAGGCCAACTGGGGGCCAAGTGCTGCTCTCTGTGTGCCCGGAACCAATTGAATCGCGTGCGCGTGGATTAAACAAGTTGCGTTTATATTTTCTGAAGCATAGCCACCGAGTTCCCTTGACTTTTAACCCAAGGAAGGGAAACCCACTTGATTATCCCTGTCACGTCACTGGGAAAACTCAAAGGGAAACTGCCGGACGGCCTTGAAAACTTTCAGCCTTGGCTTGGCCAAGTGACAACAGTCTCGGCTTACAGTTTGCCTTTCGGGATGGTTGGTTGGCTGGCTGGTTGGCTTGTTTTCCATATGCAAGGCAGCGACATTGTGTCGATAATTTGTGTATATAACCATGGCTCCTGCTTCCGCTTCCGCTCATCCTTATTTCCCCAGTTCATACCCCCACATCCCTCCCAGAATCAAAAGTTGCGCAGCGGCAAAATGCTGTCAGATTGCTGATGAACGACTTGGTGGAAAAGGACCGAGTGCGCGCGTCATCGTCAAGGATTTTGCTGGCAAAAGGACAGGCTTCGCTCCTGTCAAGCCTCTTCAGACCCAGAAATATCCTGGAGGGGCCCTGAAACCCAGTCGAAAAGGGGGGCTTCTCCGAACGGCAGACGACTCTTATCAGAGGCGGTGTGTGGAAATGTTTTTATCTGCTCTGCTGCGTGTAATTATCGATTTTTTCTGTTGTTTTTCCCTCTGCGTGGGGGTGGCTGCCAGCCCCCCAATTTCCCCGCCCCCTTTACTGCTCTTTCATGTTTCAAATTTCCAATGATTAGGCAGCTGTTCAGCGGACAGCAGCTGCGGGCTGTTTCCATTATTGATAAGAAACCCAATATTGGTTCAGAGCCTAAGCTCAATCCCGGCTCTAATGGCTTTTGTTGGGCAAGTTTGGGTCTATTAGTTGGAGATCCACTGATTTGAATTGAAGTTTAATGGGTAAGGCTAGGTTTTTTGGCTAGAATATCAATGCTATTATGTCTTAAGTTGATATCAGGCATTTCTTTTTTATATATATTGTGCAGTTTCCCGTAAAATGGTATATATTTAGTTAGGACTTAACTAAACCATTTATAGGTCTTAAGCAAATATAAATACCCTTCATGAATATAACAGAAATATACCATATGTATCTATTGTAAACAAGATAAAAACCCGTATTCCGCATGTTGATAAAGTATTTCGCATTGTTAACCAAGGGTTACACCTTTTAACATGGAGCTTCTAACAAAATGGGATACTTTTTTCAGAATACAAAACTAAAACGTAGTATATAAGTTGTAACATTTTAATATAAACAGCTTTATAAGTAATATTCTGTGTTTAAAACCTGGAGTAGCCCCTAATCCCCACCTTTGGTCACTCGTGTCGTATACTTAATCTGTCAAATGCACTCACTCTGTCTTGAGGTTGCTGCGGTTGCTGTTGTTGCTGCTGCAGATGTTGCTGCTGCGGATGTTGCAGTTGCTGCTGTTTTAGTTGCTGTTTCAGATCCTGCTGCCACAAGAATATCCTTCTGCTGGCGATGTGCTGTGTGAGTGTGGGTGAGGGGTCCGCTGTGTTGTTGCTCGCACATACACACAAATCGATAACGGCAGCTCCTTTCGCTGGGGGAGAAGGAAAAGGACTCGACTCAGCCTTGGCACTGGACTCACATACGCCGCGATTCCGTGTCGATGGATTCGATACGCTTCGATTCGATTTGTTTACGGTTACCCAATCAATTATTCACACGCCCGCGACCCACTCGTCCACTCCTGTGGCCAGGATTCAGGATTCCTCTGGCTGCACTGGCTCAATTATTCAGCAAGTGATGTATGCAACGCACCAACGGTAATTTTACCTTTTCGCTGCGACACGTCGACACCAAAGGACACACAATTTTTCCTTCGCTTTCAGGCGGCGAATTGACTGCTGTTGCGGCGAAAACGGGCCAGTTTTGTATACGTTTTCATAATTCAACTGTGGCAACTGTTTCAACCTGACTGACTGACCAACTGGCTGGCTGACTGGATGACTGGTTGGCTGAACTGACTGGCTGCTGCCCACACAATTTCCCTGCTGCTGCTGCTGCTTTTCCTGCTGCTGAAAATCGATGGGTCTGCGTGTGTGGGCGTAGCTTTCGCGGCGAATTCGGAGGAGCTTTCCATTCATGCGCCAGACATGCGCACTCCATTTTCGGGAGCACTTTGCAGCACTGTTTTCGTTTTCCTTTTTAAACACTATCTGGGCGCCAAAACTTAATTTCACTAAGGATCTCATCCCTCCCTTTATTCATTACTTATGACTTACTTCTTTTTTTCGACCTTAGCACAAACAGTTATCACAATTTTGTGATTATAAACAATCTAAAATTAACTTCACACGATGTTGAGAATATATATCTTAATTGGTAAATATTTGTTATCTCTTACCGTCCCGAATTGATAGATTAAAAATGCAAATTTTAATTTGTGTCAAAAAATTAAACGTGTTTTCCCGAAACAGAGTTTTTGAGATCGGCACTTTCAATAACTTGAAAAGTTGTAATATTAAGATTATTTAGTTTAATTTTTTGACCTATTGCTCATTTTACTAGGTAATTTATAATCCTTCTACTCACAATAAAACATAATGGTCTTTTAAAGCTGTTCAGTCTCATACTTACTTAATCTTTTGTTTTTGGTTTATTTCAATACTGTTGCTACGTTGTTAAAAAAGTAATATGACGTCACGACTGTTTAAACTAGGCCTATTGTCTTCTACCTGTGTTTAAACACACTCTACAAATAGACTGGCACGTGTCAAAAATAAAGTGTACAAAGAAACGTTCCAAAGCTATTTCCAGCCTTGCCAACAAAACTGATTAAAAGCAGTTCAAATTCGACATGTGGACTTTACCTATAAATAAAGTCAAAAGTCTGAACAATACTTCAGTACAGTGAGTGATAGACAGACCCAAAGATGCTATCCCAATTTGAACTCGCCTTTGTTTTTGTGGCCATTGTTGCTGCTGCTTATGCAATAAATCTTGCATCGTCCCCAGCCATTGAAGACTTAGCAATATAAAGCACCCAAGGAGATGGAAGAAGATTCGGAGACGCGTTTAGATAGGGGCCAAGAAAAGTGAATCGGTGGCGCCATCATCAGGGACAAATACTGTATTAAGGACCCTTGGCTAAAATTGTATATATTAGAAAGATAAATGCCACCATAAAATGGTCAGCAATAAAAGAAATGGTTTTATAAATGGTAAATTCTTTTTACTTATAAGGATATGACATTTACTAATAACCGCATAACAGTTCTAGTTAAATTACTTTAATCAAAAAACCTTTTTTAATCTTTGGACCAAACGCTAGTCAAAACCTTGAGGCCTGGTATCAGTTTATGGACCAGTAAGTACGCAAAAGAAATCAGGGTTCAAAGATTCAGAGTATAACGAGTTTAATGACCAACAATTAACAACGAGTTTACCACCTACAGTTTGCTGTTTCCGGCCAGCAGATCGCGCACCAACTCCACGGCGTACTTGGCCGTTCCGGGAGCCGTAGTCACGCCGTAGCCGCCGTGTCCATAGTTGTGGACGATCTTAAGCCGCCTGCCCTCCGAATTCGTGATCAGCTCCGGTTCCACCCGAACCACGGAGCGGTGCGGACGCAGACCCACACATTCCCGGACGATCTCCGCCTTCCGGAGACTGGGCAACAAATCGTAGCACCTCTCCCGAATGGCCATGCTGTCGTACTTGCACCACTCCGTGTTGTAGCTGTCGAACTGGCGACATCCTCCCAAAGTCACCGTTTCGAATCCGGGCAGGACGTAGGTATCGTAGTCGCCGTAGAAGGCTGTCTTCACCCAAGGAGCCCGGACTTTGAGCACCTGTCCACGGATGGGAACAAGGTGCTGGTCACCGCACAGTTCCTTGGCTCCCATTCCGGTACAATTGAGCAGGACGTCGAAGTTCTGGGGCAACTCGAAGAAGTTCTTCACATGCTGACGGACCACCTCACCTCCGTTCTGCAGGAATCTACGGGAATTTCGTGTATAGTTACGGTGTAGGGGTTACGACTTATGGTTCTTAGGGTTTTGTTCGATATAATGTCGGTAGTCTTACTAGGTTATTTTCTTAAAAATATCATCATCATTGTCATTATCACAGTATTATACCAGATTTGTCTATCTCAAGACGATATATAAATCCGAATCGAATAAAACCTTCAGACATTTTAGACCCACTCACTTTTTGGTGGCATATGGCAGGAAGAGACGACTCTCCGTGAGGCAGGTGGTGAAGAAGGATCCGTACTTCCAGCCGCCGTGGCACAGCTTTAGTTCCTCCTCCGTGGCCCTCCGGTAAACGGGCAATAGCTTCTCAATAAAGTGGTTCTAAGGCAACAAACAGAAAGTTAATCGAATAAAGCTTGATGCGATAAGAATCGCTGATAGAGGCCTGCCCGGCAACACACATACCCGTACGATATTGGGCGAGGTGCGGGAGTAGATGTAGCCGGACAACTGGCAAACGCCCACCAAAGGAGCCTCCTTGGAGCGACGCAGTTCATCCCAGTAGTTATAGGCATCCGTCATCCATTGTCTGGGAAGAAAAGAAACCAGGTGATTACTCTATAACTAGGGGCTAATCTCAAACAGATGCTCACTGCGTAATTTCCTGGGTGGGGCCCATGAAGCTGGTTCCCGGACGGAAGATCCCAGCCGCCACATAACTAACCGTATCCTCGTTGAAACGATCCGCAATCACAGAGATCCTAGCAGTGGGAAACTCCTTCTGGAGTTCCAGGGCGGTCGTGAGACCGATAATACCGCTACCCAAGACTCCGAAATGCATTTTGAATCCACTTTGCGCTGATTGACCAATTCCAATGGAAGGCTGTTTGGTACTGAGAGCGGCGACCTGCAGCGCGTGTTATTAAAGGTACTTGTGGAGATAGTAGCTGCACCGTATCAGCTCCCTATCAAATACGCTCTCCATCGCGCCTCCAGAGATAATAAACTTTAGTACTCCTTATCGAAGGTGCAATAATCGCCGGATTCCATTGTTTTTATTTTGGTTGAGTACAGTGTTCAACGATTACTGTGAACTTCCAACGATGTGGACGTAAACCTACAAACAGAAAGTGAAATCAGTAAAAGTAATATTGTTGTTATGTATGTATTTAAAAAAACAATTTTTTAAGAACACTGCACCATAATGATGTTTACATATCAAGTAATTATTGTGAAAATCAGAGCTTTAAAAACTCTTTATCTAAACATAACAGAGTTTTAAGATTTTTGTTTCCAAGAAAAGTGTTTTTTGCATTTTAAAAATTTCGTTAAACGGGTAACCACTGTACATCGAAAGTGCTCAGTTGAATCAGCTGTTCAAACACCACCCACAAGTCCCATTTTTCGGGAATTTCACAGCAATTTTCACCAAATGCCATCAGAATATCTTGTCAAACGGCACAGCGCAGTAAGATAGTTAAAATTATTATATATTTCGTAAAAATCAAATTCTTTGTCTGCCGGCGCGCTCAGATAAGTTCCACAAGAAATACCAACGCCTCGAAACAGCTGTGTGCGGTATTTTTCAGATTCGTACACAGTTAGTACGTGCGATGCGCGGACGTTTTGCAACACTGCCCGGAGGGTCACACTGTCCGCTCAGATATTTATTTTTCTAACAACATTTGCTGGTAAAACCACACAAAAACACCCATTACCCACAATTTCGGACACGCAGGACACGGTAGCGATAGCCAGCGAGCGGAGGGGCCAAGATTTGGACTTGGAGCAGGTAGCGGCAGGAATATCAAGACGGATTTGCCCAGGACAAGTCGCAGTAGTATGTCGTCGATGTCGCCCAGCGAGGTGAGTTCTCTGGGGGTCTTGAGATTTCGATTTACATTTCCAAGGGGGTATTACCACGCAGCTGGTCAAATATTTACGATCCCAGCAGCTGAAGGTTTCCCCAGCAGCAATCGCTTTTCGAGCTACCATTCCCCTCGAGAAGGTTCAACGTCATCTTATCGTTCCAGCGATTCGGAGCTACAAAAAGTGACGCAGCACTCAGCGATGATATGAGCTATCTTCCCAGCTTCCAAGCTTCCTTCTTGAGCCCCGCATTTGTTATTATATAACTGAGCGGTCTCTGCAGCTCGAGGTCTTCTGACCCCGGCCGCTAATTGTGAACCCGGTAATCGACCCGCTGTTTGCACCACCCACAATCCGCCAACCACCAATGCCATCCGCCACCCACTGGCCAAATGTTTACACGGCATCCGATGCACTTTCCCTTTAGCCGACTGTTTGTTTATGCCACGTAAACAATGCACTTGCATTGTGGCTAAAACCTTCGATCCTAGCCACCCCATAGCTATCCGGGGTGCTCTTAACCTGAGATGGGGAGTGTCATAGTACTTTTCCGCTAATAAAATTCGATTCATTAAATTGTGTTCATCTTATAAAGGTCTCTTAGTTAAAGATATGAGGGTATTAGCTAAAGTTTACTTTGGATTGTACTTAAGAAAGTACCACTTACGATTAAACTTTTTATTCTGGTAAAAAAATTTGAAGCCTAGATAATTATTGATCGCTTTGTTAATTTAAACCAGATATAGTATATTCAACTGGTTGTCGTTACTCTCTTGCTTAATGCTTAATCAGACCTTCAATATAATATTTTTTTAATCTGCTGGGAAAGTTTTTAAAATTAAGTGGTTATTTTCATTTGTCATGATACATTTTACATAACCCATGTATGTATATTTCCTTATGTCACCACATTGCATCTTTGTTCCCAAGTTTTATATCTTATATATACAATACAACATACTTTGTTCAATTATATTTATTTTGAACCTTGCACCGAAAACTTTTTACCAAGATAGGTTCTGGGTATGTGGGTTTTTTTAGCATCTTTCTCATCACTGCTCCCAAGCTATATCTCCTATATATGTGGCTCACTCGGATCGCTCGCCCGTCCGCCGAAAATAGAAGCTCATCGGCAGTGACAACGCTCGCATTCAGTTCTCGATGCCACGCGAATTCGCACGCGCCGCTCTGCCAGATTCTCCGTGACGCGAAATCCAAAAGCCGAA